GATCACGACGGGAGCCAGGACGTCAGGATGAGGCTTTAGGCGCTTCCTCCCCCGCTTCTTCGGGGGGTTGCCGGTGCTACCTCCGCCGGGACCCTCCTCGTCGTCTCCTTGTCCTCCCTTCCCCGTCGCCGATCCTCCCCGCGCATCCGATTCTCCTCCCCCTCCCCCCTCCCACCCTTTGTCCGGCTTCCTCCCTTGTGTGTGTCCTCTTCCTGAGCCTGAGGGCCGTCCTCGTTTCCTCGGAACCCCAGCCCCCGGGGGGGGGGAACTTTCCTGCAGGGAGGGAGGGAAGGAGGACAGGAATGGATCGGGATAGGAAAGAGGAGCGGCGGCGGCAGGTTAGAAGGGAGTGCAGAGGGAGGGAAGGAGGAAGGGAAGGAGGAAGGACAGGAGGGAGGGAAAGAGGAAGAAAAGCATCCAGGAAGGAACGGAAGAAAAGCAGCGAGGATAGAGGTACCTGCTCTGTTTCCCCTGTGGGCATCGTCGCCACGGTATCGGGTACAGAAAATCCAGTGGAGGACATCTCCGTGTCTTCTCTCCTCTTTTTGCTCCCTGTTTCCTCCTCCTCGTGCGCTCTTCCCCCTCCTCCCTCATGGGTTCCGCTCCCTGTCCCTCCTCTCTCTATGGCATCGTTGCCCTTTTTCATCTTTCCTTCCTCTACAGAGCAGGACACCAAGGGTTGTTGCTGTTGCTGCAGATTGAATTCTTCTTCCATTCGCTCGAGGTCCTCCACCGACTGCATGCATACAGGCAGGGCAACGTGCGAGGGGCAATGAGGGGGGGCAAAAGGCAAAAGAGAAGAATGAACAAGGATGCGGAGGTCCAGAAATGATGGTCAGAGCACCCACCATGCCTATCTGGTGTGTGTACAGATACAATACATCTTCACTGATAGGTGCAACCAGGAATATGAAAAATACATATCAGCACTGTAGTATTTTCCTTGCGGATGACTACCATGAGACTTAGTGGGTATCCTTTATCAACTGGAATACGCACCCAATATTTTATCTGTGGACAGTTGTCTTTCATTTCTGTCCTTTTTTCATGGTAGCATTGTCCAATGGAGGACAAGAGAATGGGAAAGGAGCAGTAGAAGCAATGAGATGATGCAACGTTCCCGGGAAACGGCTGAATTTCTCCTTCCGTTGTAATCAATGCCGCCACACAGCACTACTGACTCCCATTACAGCAGTCTTGGACCAGGAGTCACGTGTTTACAGCTTCCAAAAGACTGCATTATAGAGAGGTAAGTTGACCATACGTCACCGCGAGGGGCAATTGAGAAAAATTGCGCGAAACAGAAGAACGGCCCAAGCCTTGGGCGGCCCAAGGGGGGAGAAATTGCGCAAAACCGTGAGAAAAGGAAACCTCAGGACAAAAACATAGCGACGAGCGCAACACGCAATATGTGAACAATTTTTGGGGGGAAACGCCGGCCGAATGTGTTCATGAATACAATCCATGAGTATAAGTCAGTAGAAATCTCTGTGGCAAAACACCCCATTCTTTGATGCATGGACGAACTGGATCTCATCAATCCCTGAAAACTAATCTCGACCCCTTTTATTCCTGGAGTAGCCACAAGGATGGACCACGTACTGCGAACAGTGGGATGGTTCGTACGTACACCCGAAGTACCGAAAGACGGCGCTAAACTCTGCACGATTGCTCTCTCCCATTACTGTGAGAAAGCTCGTTGGGCCTTGGACTTGTCGCCCCTACGCGACACGTACATCGAAGACGCCCATGCCCCTGTCTTCCATTATCGACCAACGGTCGCCTTAACCAAGGACCGGAAGAAAACAGGCTTGCCTGTCCTGGTGCTTCCCGGAGTGGACCCTGAGGGCCCGCCCACTGTTGTTCAGGACTCTGCTGAGATCCTCCAGCACCTTGCCTCCCTGTATCCGAAGGAGCTGGGGCACTTGTACCCTCCTGGAGATATGGGGGACAAGGTACGGGCGTTGGAGGAAGCTGGGAGAGCAGCTGGGGCCTGCGACGCGTAAAATCGTGTATTGGGAAATGTGGCAAGGACGACAGGAGGGAATTGATACCTGCAACGCACTGTTGGAAAGGCATTATCCCACGGCCGAGGCGCGAATGTGGCGGCTATTGGAAGCCAAGATCCTCCCAGTGATGCTAAAAGCGATGAAAATCGATGAAACCTCGACTCTTGCGGCGTTGGAAGAGTCTCGTGAGATTTTCCGGGAAGTTTCGGCATTACTGGACAGCGAGGAAGGAGGGAAGGGCGGGGGAGCTCCCGCAAGCCCGCGAAGATACCTGTTGGGGGCAAATCGGATGACAGCAGCGGATTTGACGTTTGCTGCTTTGGCGTACCCACTGATAAATCCTCCCGCCTTCGCCTCCTTAGGTTTGTCGGGAGCAGAGGCCTCCCCCTGGGCCAAAAGGTTAGCCGTCATCACAGAAGAATTTCGGGCTACCCCAGCAGGTCAACATGTCTTGAGGTTGTATGGGGAGGAACGGTTTCCAGAAACCTCTATGGCGGGAAAAGAGCCGACGGGTCTGCTTTGCCTTCGGACGTCAAACCGAGACAAGTGGCCCTGGCAGTGAAACAGGGGCACTTACCGGGGTGTTGGGATCATTCGAGCATAGATCCCGAGATAAAGACTTTTCGGCGTGTAAGTCTTCTTGAGCATGTATAAATCTCTTTGTTTTTGAGAGATGATTATATATACCGATCGATCTTTCAGCTAGAAAACAGATGATTGTCAACACTAGTCTACGAGCTTTGAAGCAAGAAAGCAATTTGTGACTCTTGAAGGGCATTTACGACTTAATTTGATACATTAATTTTGGTGTATTGGGTACGAAAACTGTGCATGCGTGACCTCCGCGAGGGACTAAAAAGCAATCGACTTCCTGAAGAACTCACTCCCAAAGACGTGAAGAACGCTTGAAGCCTTCTGCAGTGTCAAGAAAGCTACTTCCTTTGTAGAGAACGACTTGTTTTAAGGTTTGTAATTATCGCAGAATCGCATATTACATGCACTGTATACACGCCACGCGCTTTTTATTTCTACGTCACGTCCCTTTCGTGACCTTTTTTTCAAAAGTTTCGGACCTCGGCAATCCGACTCAAACGGTGGAAGATCAAAGGAAATGTCTGCGATACCGAAGCCGGCGTCTCGGCGAAACAAATGTAAGCCGCATTAACGGTCGCCAGTAATGGCTCCAAAACTGTTACCATCAAAATGTACCCGAAGACTGCAGGCAGGAACAGGGTCGGCCCCAAAGCAGAATTCGCGCCAAATAACAACAAAGATAGGAGGACGAACAAGCAACTCGCAGTGATCCCCAGGGCATGCAGTGTATGTGTTAAGGTGTCGCTTCGAAGGATCGAGTCCAGCCCAGCCGCCATCATGATCGTCCACGTGTCACGTGCGCTTGCCGCAAACGGTTTTTTGTAGGCGGCGACGTGGACCAGGGCGAAAGGATGGTGGGAGCGGATGAAGGCAGCGGCGCAGGAGGAGGGTGGGACGGAGGAGGGGAGGGAGGACGGGGAGATGCGGTCGAGGGCCGTGGAGGAGTTGGAAGTCGAGAGAGAGGAAGGGAAGGAGGAAGGGAGGGAGGAGGTGGTTACATGCATGCTTTGCATTGGAAGAGCTTGTGCGGGCACCTGGAAGCCTTTCAGGTCCCAGAGGAGGTGGGCTACCGGAGAGCACAAAGCAGCGTGGGCTAAAGAGCCGAAGGAGACACTGAGGGCACACGCAAGGTGGTGGAGAATGACTTCGAGACGGAGGTGCTCGGAGGAAAAGGGGGGAGGGGACGGGGCGATTTTCTCCGCGGGAAAGACAGGAGAGAGCGCCGAGGAGAAGAGGGGAGTAGGGGAAGGAAGGCCCTCGTCGAGGAGAGGACCGGGGTCGTCCTCGCTCCTGCAAGGGGATGGACGCGGACGATGGACGTGGTTTGGCGGTGGATGAGGCGGGCAGGGACGCGGTGATGGGCCGTATCTTTCGAGAGCATGCTGGTGCGGCCGTTGTGACGGTGGAACTTGATCGCGTAGTGGCGGTCGCTGGGTGATTGGAAATGACGATGGCGAGGGTAGTTGTTGCTGTGCCGGTGGTGCTGGTGCCGGTGCTGGTGGTTCCCGTTTGCCACCATTTCCTCTCCATGCTGTGGGTCTCGTCACCTCCGCCTTCCATTCTTCTCCTTCGTACCTCCCCCTTCCATCTTCTTGCTTCCCTTCATGTCCCTCGACGCCCCCATCCTCCCCCCCGTCCTCCTCCCCTTCCTCGAAGAAGGGATTCAATGTACGGTCGTACTCAAATCCTCGACGCAGACCTGGGCTCCAGCTGCCCTTCCTTTCTGTTCCCATTTCTCCGTCCCCTTCCTTTTCTTCCTCCAGCGCACTGTAGAACCAGCGGGTCACTGCCCCAGAAAGGAGGAGGTAGAGCCCTTTTCGAAGGAGCTGAGCGGTCCAGTATAGGTCGAGGAGGAGGAGGAAGGCGGGGAACGAAGAAAGCCCGGACGCAGACGAGTAAAAGGAGGCAAAACCACACGCCCACAAGAGAAGGAAGGAGGCTTGAAGCAGGACGGTCCAAGAAATTGCTCGACATAAAGGGAGGGAAGATATCAGGATCTCGCTCATCATCTCACCCAGAGCAACTACGAATTTCTCTTGCTCTCTGACGCGTCGACGCCAGTACTGATGCTCGCGCCACATGTTCATAAAGAGAACGCCAAGAATTATGACGGTAGATGGGAGATGAAGAGGGAGGGAGAGGAAGAGGGCAAAAAAGAGGACAGTCTGAGCAACGAAGGAGTAGTAAGAGGCGTGGGAGAGAAGCTGGCGGCGTGTGAGCAGGCCGAATGCAGCTCGATTGTGAAGAAGTGCGCGGAGTACAATAAAATAGGTAAAAGCACTTCCGCAAATAATTATCAGGAATAGACATGACGAAATCGCATAAAAAGGTAAATTTGTGTGTTGGCTTGTTTTCCCCCGAGATGGTTCTGAGTGCTTGAGGGAGAAGACCAGGATGAGGCCTACCAGATGCAAGACGTAAAGGAAGGCGAAACCACGGTCTCGATACAGGATAGGACGCCGAAGGCTCATGATATCCATCCTTGGTGTGAAGGAGGAAGAGGGGGCAAGCGTGGAGAAAGGCAGGAAAAAAGAGGAGGAGAAGGAGGGGTCCTGAACGTTCATGAATTGAGCAGTTGATGGCGAAGATGTTGTAAAAGGGGAACAATTTTCAGTTGCTGTGTCTACATTGTCGTTGTCCTGGGATTCATAGCGAAGACATGGCTTTAGGGACAATTTCTCGTGGCAACACGGCTGGAGGCGGGCGCAGGTGTCATCGTCACAATTTGAAGGCGATGGTGGAATGCCCGAATTTGTTTTCCCCCCCATTCTGTGCGAGAAAAATAATTTAGAATCAATTAAGTAGTGAATATCCAAGAGGACTCGCATGGAGGGAAGAGGTGAGATGACATATAGGCCATGTGAGAAGCTGTCGCACCGGCTGTGTAACAGTCTGGGCTCTTAACGGTTCGTAACGGTTTTCCATGGCGGAAAATTAAGCACAGGCTTGTGGTAGACTAGCAGCTTCCGCCTTACTAGAATGCAGGTATGCACACAGCATTTCAAATATCGAATAAGATGTTTCCATGGAGTGGATAAAAGTCTTTGGTATTGGAGATTACGGAAAATTATGGGATTTAATGCCTTACTCAATGCGTCACTATGAATGACGCCGCGGCATATTAGGGAGGTTGACAGGTTGGAGGGTCTTTCAACCATCAAATAAAGTAAAACCTTTCATTTTTGGTGGTCCTTGATACAGACCTGGCACCAGATCAATCTTCTGGTACGTCTACACGAGAGAAACGAAGTGAAGCACCATGCCAGTTTTGAAGTTAGTCGACAAACTTGTCTTCCGCGCGCTACACAAGAACCGAAATTCGACGAAAAAATATTTATCAAGATGTACCCGAGTTGTTGATACTGATTTTCATTTTGCTAGTTATGTGGACTGTGCCCTAATTCTGTTTGCAATGCTTGCTTCTTCATTCGGTCAAAATCGTATTCTGAAAATTTTATCTGAAACCTCTTCCCGGCCTCTCTCTTGAAACATTTCTCACCGCCATCACCTTTGATTAAAGTCCCTATAATCCCGAAAGAAGATGCCTTTTAAATCACTGATTTAACGTCTGAGCGTGGCTCTGCATTGCCCGGCAATACTGTTCGGCATGAGTGCGCAGCTTGCTTTGCCGACCAAAGGCGGCGCTATCTAGAGACGACTTTGCTTATATTGATTTAATTTTCTAAAATTGTTCATGCAATTCACATAAAGATAAATGCTACAAGACACTTTATTTCGCACGCTTTTGGCGTTTTTCCGTCTTGACTTACCTACCCTCTTCGCCCCGCACTTGAAAATAAGCAACAACTTTTATCATTTCAGCTTTCTTCCCATTTTAAATAAGCCATGCATCACAATTTTCTCCAAATTTTATAAATCAATATAAGAGAATCAAAAAGCACATACAATTATCCCATTATGAATGCATGTGGAATCCACTGGAAAGGAAGATGAAGGAGCAACATCTTTGTCCTTCTTCCCTACTCCGCCGCCCCTCCCTCTCTCACTCCCTTCGCTTCCTACTGATGCTATTTGGCCATCCGCCCTTTTGCGTCACTTCTGACGTCCCAGAAAATGCCAAGCTTCTCTCCTAAAGAGACAGAATACGAGGTGGATAGGACCAGGCGGGAATGAGGAAGACGGGGAGGTGAGGAAGAGCGACGAGTCAACGAGTAATTTCTTCGAGCCATGGCCATAAAAAGAGATTGTGAGCCTCTGCCGACGACGGAAATATCGAACAAGAAGTAGATGAGGCACTGATGTTCCAATCACACAATTTTCTGAAAAAGGTCGGTAGGGAGAACCCAGGAAGAAGTCTGAAAAGACCGACGGAAGGCCTTCCTCTTCACATATCGGTTCATCCCCATCTTTGTCCCCTTTTTTCTATTCTTCGCCTTCTGCCC